CAGATATTATTAATAAAAAAGAATTAAGTTGATTGTGGTAATTAAATCCTACCAACTGTGACCTTGTGATAACCTATAGTATGTATGTTAATTCAGCAAAAATATCTTCATAATTTCAGGTTTTAGCAATTCGTTGGATGAAAAAAGTTCATGTGTCTGGTACTTTATTTAACGGAGGACCATGGGGGAGAAGAAGGGGGGAAATGGTGGGGGAAAGGGGGAGAGGCAAACCATGAGAGACTCTTGAATGCTGACAAAAACTGAGGACTGATGGATGTGGGAGGGGGGATGGGCACGGAGGGGGGCACTTATGGGGATGAGCACTGGGTGTTATATGGAAACCAACTTGACAATAAACTATTTGTAAAAATAAATAAATAAATACATAAAATAAAAAATGAGTTAGAAACAGTGTATCACTAGGGCATAAATAAAAATCATTTTATCTTAAAAAAAAATAAAATAGAATCTTGAGAACCATGAAGCTCAATTTTCAAAAATTATCACATTTTAATTGTTAGCACCTTACCTAATAACTTTAACACTTGAAAGTCATTTGTTGAAAAATATTCACTAATTCAGATGCTTCGATATTTAAAAAAAACTTTCCCTTAGTACAAACCTATTTCTGAATTAAGAAGTTTTACTAATATGAATGCTTCTGTGCCTAATCTCATTTGCAATTAGAGAACTCTTACCTCCTCAATTTTTAACTACTCTCCTTTAATTAGTCAAAGGATTTAAAAATAGGTTAGTGTCTAAGCCATATAAATGACTTTGGATTTTTAAAAAATTACCTGGTTATCCATTCCAACAACAGCACCAAATGGCTATTAAGTTTCTCCCTCAAAAAAAAAACCTTTAATTTGAGGGGCGCCTGGCTGGCTCAGTTGGTGGAACTTGCAACTCTTGATCTCTGAGTCATGAGTTCAAGCCCCCTGTTGGGAGTGGAGCCTACTTAATTTAAAAAATATATATTTTAAAAACGTCTTAATTTGATAGCCAATATCTATCTTTAAAACATCACAACTAAATAAATATACATTTGACACCTCCACCTTGAAATACACTCCCTCAACATAGTCACTTTAAAAAAAATTTTTTAATCATTAATCAGAAAACCTATTCTATTTGTACAAAATTAAAAGTCTATTTACCACTCAGACTACAATAAAATAATGTGGAATTCTCTGGCTATATAATTAGCATTGAAGAACTAATGTTTCCAGCAAGTATATCATTAAAAAACATTTGCACATTAGCAACTAGTACAGTTTTCATTTAACACCTCCATAAACAAGTTATATGCACTCTAAACACATACTTAAATAAAGAACCCAATTACATGCTAGAGCTCCCTGCAAGAATGTCTAATACAGTAAAGAAAAATACTTACCCTTTAACTAATGTTGCTTCTTCCTAAGGAGTTGCCTCAAATCTTCTGTGAAATGAGGCAAGGTAGACATAAATAAATATGATTAAGACTATTAACATGACAACTGCTTATTTATTTAGGTAGTGCTTTTAAGTGTGATTGAAGAAAGAAGTTAAAAGTATCCATGAGAGGTTTGGTAAATCTAAATACAGAGGAGACAATATCACACAGAGGTTTTAGAGAAGAGGTCTAGAGTCCAGACACCTCAGGTTGAATCCTAGCTCCACTGTTTTTAATATTAAACTAAATTAGCCATCAGCAAGTTACTCAAACTCTCTAAATCTCAATTTCCTCCTCAGTGAAATGGAACTCATAAGAGCACCTTCCTTTTTAAGGTTTTATGAGTATTAAATGAGATTATCCATTAAAAGCCCTTAGAATAACACCAGATGCATAGCAAGCTCTCAGTTAGTTAACCACTATCATCATCATCACCATCATCATCATCATCATCTCACTGCACTGTAAAAAAAAAAAATGGATGTGAAGTAGTTGAGTAAATTCAATTCTTCCATACACAAACCAAACAAATGGGCAGACCCCACACTAGATAATGAACCCTTATATTCGCACCATGAGTCTCAGCTTCTCACTAGATCTTGTGCTGCCTCTCACTGCCAGCTGATATCTGAACAACCAAAAAGAACAATCTGGTTACTCACACTATATTACGTTAATGTGTAAATTCATCACTTTGGAAAGAAAGTCACAAAGTAGTTCATTCATGACTCATTTTATTCATAACAATCTCAAACTTGTCACCCAAAAATTGGATTTTACAGCTACAGTTAAGTGAAGTAAACACATTCACAACCAAATTCATTCGGTGGTGTAAAAAAAAAAAAAATCAATATAAACTATCTGAGAGAAGAAAATAGTCCACTAAATACAGACTGTTAAATGTTGAGGAAAATGCATCATTAGTTTGAAGAGAACAAGCTTAATTAATGAGCAAACACAATTGACACAAGCAATGACCCCTTGTTTTATGATTACATTCAATAACTGCACATCCACCAGAGTCTTAAAATGAAAACAGATAACATATAAAAGAGGAAAGTTTCATCCTTAAAGGAAAGGACATTATCTTTATTGCAAAATGTCTGGATAATAAAAAGATAAAAGGTTATAGTGGGATATGAGTAGGTTTTTTTTTCTGTCTAGGACCAATCTCCTTTCAAAATTGAGAACTCCTTTTTCCCTAAGGCTGGTTTATAATTAGAAATTAGATTCCTCAATAATTCAATGACTGAACCTTTATTAAAGTCAAATGACCTTTTTAATTAATTTTTTCCTAATATATAAGCTCTATAGGCAAGTGTCATCTCTACAGATAATAAAGCCGTTATATATTATTTATATAATGAAATTTCCCCTCTCTGTTCATTCTTTTCTCTGAATTGATATTCTAACAGCAATTAATTATTGTCAAACCTTAAAAAGTATAACAATACTAATGTATTTTGCTAAATGTTCTGAATTGTCTGATACTTATAATGTCCCTTATAATATTATAAGTCCCTTATACTTATAATGAAAAATGTTTAAGCTAAAATATTTTACTCTTCCATATCTCTTTTTTGGAATTCCCATTTTAAAAGAATACAGCTAGTAAGGGGAAGTGTATCAGGATTTGAAAACCTGAAGAATGGAATTGAGATACATGCATAAAACTGACATTACGTTCAAAAGCTCTTGACACAGTGAATTTATAATACAGGCCCATCCCAGTAAATGAATGAAGGATGCATAAAAATACGGCAGTTGAATTTGAATTACTTACAATTTTCATCTTTAAGTATTTGGTTAAAAAACAAAAGTAGTTCAATGACAAAGGCATCACGTTAAATGTCCAGGAGCCTGAAAATTCAAAAGTATACTGTCCTCAAGCCTCACTCTCCTTATGGATACTACTGTAAGTTTGGTGAATTTCAGTGATCATAAATCAAAAACAAAGTAAAACCCTTACTGTATGGCTGCTGTTGGCATATGTTTGAAATCACATTCATCCTTCACTTCACCATTAGTCTGAGATGAGGTATGTAAAATGTTTCACCATCACTTTTCTCACCACTCAAAATGATAAAACCGAAGTGAAGGGATTAAGAATTAAGAGATTTACTCAATTGTCAGCAATTTTACTTTTTTACTGGGGTCCTAAGCTTTCTAATTCACACCAGGAGGAAAAAAGATGATAGGAAGAATGTCATCAGACAGAGCATCATCTGAGAGAAGAGAATATGCACTTTAGAGATACTAACAGTTTCCAAAGGAGATGTGGGAATATCGGAATTTTACCCATTGCCAAACACTAGCAAAAAAAAAAAAAAAAAAAAGGAACAGGAACCTTCTGAGTCTCAAATCACTAACCAACCCCATACAAAGAGTAAAGTACAAGTTCGGGATTGTCCCCACGCCAGACCACTGTCTCGCCCCTTGTCCATTTCCACCTGCTTTACTATAGGAAGCAGATTTCAGCTTTCATAATGCTTTCGAACAGGCTTTTCTTGGCCAACGTCTGCACTCTTCAGGCGAGGCCGTTAAGGTAACTTAATCCCTCACTCACAGCTCGCTGCAAGAAATGCCGATTCCCAATTCAAAAATTCACTCCCTCGCTTTTTCTGCGTTAAAGGAGTCACGAAGAAACCCGTAATTCTGATTTGGGTTCAGTATATGATCTTGAAGACTCGCCGGACAGATTTCAGGGCACGGAAGATGATGCTGGGGGAGGGGGCGGGCGGGGAGAGTGCGAGAAAGATGCTGGTCAATCCCGAGATGATGCAGGAATGACATGGCATCTGGGCAACGCGAGTCCACGCTCACCCCCCCCCCCTCCGAGCCTGTGCCTCGGTTTCTCTGACATAAGCCTGGGTCTGTGAATAGGTGCACACGCGAACACACCACCTTTTATTCTCCGACTCCCTGGGAGGAGAATGGTGGGGAAGCGTGGCCGGGTAAAGCTTCACCACAACAAACGGTTTCTTTCTCCTCGCACCCCGCCTCCCCTGCTAGGGGCAGGGGACGACTGTCTCGAACAGTAGACAGCTGAGCGTAACGGAGAACCAGGGCAAGAAGGACAGCATCTCCTGGGGGGGGGGGGGGGGGGGGGGGGAGAGCGGGGGGTTAAAACCCCAAAGCCTACCGGAGAGCTTCCCGGAGGCTGACAGGAAAAGGAGGGGATTGAGAAGCCGGGAAAACAGAGGAGACGCGGACTGGGAAGCTCCCGGGCGCGCTACGCATCCAGGCTGCGGGAGGCTTGGCGCGCCAGGCGGGGGGTGGGGGGGAAGTCGATCCGGGGCGGACCCCCTCCCCTGACTCCCCGGCCGGAGGACGCAGAGGAAATGGCTTTGTATCGCAGGATGAAAGGCAGACAGGAGGGCCACCGGGCGCAGCAAGGGTTGGGGCGGGGGGAGGGACACGGAGGATGCCAGGAGCCGGGACGACCCCGCCCGCCCCGCGGACGCCGGGCTCTGCCCTCCATTCCGACTCAGCCCGGGGTCAGCTCTCGGGCTCTGCTCCAACGGGCCCGGAGCCGGGTCGCCAGCCCCGCCCCCCGCGCGCTCACCTGCCCACGAAGTTCTCGAGCACCGAGCTCTTGCCTGCGCTCTGGCCGCCCACCACGGCGATCTGCGGCAGCTCCAGCAGGCAGCTCTGTCCCAGCGCCGAGAAGGCGTCCTGCAGACGGTTCACCAGCGGGATCAGCTCCTCCATCTCCCGATTCCCCATCCTGCCAGCGCCGCCGCCTGCTTGCTGGTGCCTGCTCCCCTCTGCGACCTGGCGGGGGAGCCGGGGCCGCGCCGCCCTAGCCGCCCCTGCCGCGCTGGGTTCTGTCAGCCGCTTCCAGCGCAGACGGATCCCGCCGCCCGCCAGCCGCTTGGCTCCTGACAGCTAACGGCCTGCAGCGCGCCTGCGCGGGCGGGCGGGGGCGTGGCCTGTCTCCTCAGCCGTCCCCTCCGCGCCCCGCAGGGCTGTAATCCCGCGGTAGGATTCCCGGCTGGACTCCCCGGCCCCGCGCGCACACACTGCCTCCCAGCTGCGGCCAGATGCCACCTCCGTCTTCTACTACCAAGGCTCAGAGGCAAAGTTACAGCACTTGGCCAGGGAGCAGCTACAAAGCTAAAGTCCGGTGGAAATCCCTACCGATAACATCTCAGCCTTGTCACCAGCAGCAGCATCTCCGCCGCCACCACCACGGCACCGCCACCACAGTCACTTCCCAAAAGCATGTTCTCACGCCTTGCTCCAGAACGCAGCTCTTCTCAAAGAAGAGCCACTGTTGGTAAGGGGGCTTACCTGTTGGTAAGGGGGCTCCTCGGTCAAAGGAGCCGACCTGTGGAGTCTAGATTCTTCCATCTGACATCCATTTCAGGACCTGCGTAGTCTGACCCTACCTAATTATTCAACTCTAATGATTCTGTCTCCCAGCCCCGTCTAAACAAAGGTGGAGCCGGTGGTGTTTACTCAGTACCACTCCCCCTCTTCAGTCTACCACACTTGTTCTGTCTTTTGCGATTTCTCATGCCGTTTCTCCTATCCATCTGTCTCCTTCATAGGGTCTGTCAATAAGCGTGTACTCTGCACATTTTCTGTTAACATTTCACAGACTGAGACGGGTCCTGTGCCTGCTGATGGAGACACGAAGATAAATGGTCATGTTTCGCTTAGCCTCCTTAGAGGGTTCCTCTTTACAAATAGTATCGATGACCTCCAGGATTTAATTCATGGGCCTTGTCTCACATTTTAAGCTCTACCCTAAGGACTTTCCAATGGCTTTAACTCCACAAAATGACTAGCGACTACAAGAATCTAAACTGCCAACCCACCTCTCTCTCCTTTACTGTTGACTGTACTCCAAACTGGTCCTGGACCTCATTACCTGAATGTCCCACAAGTACCTCTGACTCAATTATTCAAAACTGAGCTCATCTTTTCTAATTTCAGCATTTAATGCTATAAAGTTCCTTTGAGCCCTAAAAAGACTTGTATAAAACTGTCTAAATAACCAAAACACTGAGAACAACCCAAACATCCATCAAAAGGTAAATGAATGAACAAGTATGATTTGGGTATACTCCTAAGCAACAAAAAGGAGTGAACATTCAATACAGCAATAATATAGTTGAATCTCAGATACATTATGCTGAATGAAAGCCACTAAAGAGTATATATTGTATGTTTCCATTTATATGAAGTTCGGGAATAAGCAAAATTATCTGTGTGGATAGAAATTAGAGTAGTGGTTGCCTCTGAGGTGTAAGGACTGACTGCAAGAGGCACCAGAGATCTTTGTAAAGTAATGGAAATGTTCTCTGTCTTGATTTGGATGTGAGTATGCATTCATAGACTCATTGAACTAAACATTTAAGATCTGTGCATTTCAGGGGTGTCTGGGTTGCTCAGTCAGTTGGGTGTCTGACTTCAGCTCAGGTCAAGATCTCACAGTTTGTGATTTAGAGCCCCACATTGGGCTCTGTGCTGACAGCGCAGAGCCTGGAGCCTGCCTCAGATTCTGTGTCGCTAGCTCTCTCTGCTCCTCCCCTGCTCACGTTCCATCTCTCTCTCTCCTTCAAAAATAAATAAACATTTAAAAAAAATTTTAATTTGGGGCGCCTGGGTGGCTTAGTCGGTTAAGCGTCCGACTTTCGCTTAGGTCATGATCTCACGGTTCGTGGGTTCGAGCCCCGCGTCGGGCTCTGTGCTGACTGCCAGCTCAGAGCCTGGGGCCTGTTTCAGTCTGTGACTCCCTCTCTCTCTGACCCTCCCCTGTTCACGCTGTCTCTCTCTCTCTCTCCTAGAAATAAATAAAACATTTTTTAAAAAAATTTTAATCTGTGCATTTCACTGTAAATTATACCTCAACTTTTTTAGAAAGCAAAAGAGAAAGACAAAACTGAATGCACCATCTCTTCCACCAAAGTGTATCTCTAGTAGGATGTCTGCCTAACATACCTCCTTCAGGAATCACCCCTCCATCTATTGCATGGTTATAGCCAGAGCAGTCATGAAGATACAAGGGCATGAAGAGCAGCTAACTGTGCCCTCCAGTGTGCTCCCTATCTCAGCAAGAGGTCTGCCCAGTCCCAATCCAGAATCTAGAAGTCATTCTAAATCCTTTTCACTCTGTCTCTCCCTCATCCCCTACATCAAGTTGGATCCCAAATTATTCCCATTCTGCCTCCCTAGAACCCATCTCATCTTCTTTTTCTTTGCTGTCAGTGCCTCATTTATAACTATCATTTATTAACCACTATAGTGGTTATGATAGTTATAAATGAGGCACTGACAGCAAAGAAGAGATAGATAGATAGATAGATAGATAGATAGATGATAGATAGATAGATAGATAGATATACATATATATGTATGTATATATCATGAAAATAAGATTTTCATTATTGCACTTGACACATTGCATTAAATCTCTGATTTATATATCTCTCTCTTCCACTACAGTGATAGCAGAATAAAGCCCCCTTACCAACAGTGTCCACACTTAAATCCCAGAAACTGTGAATATGTTACCTGACATGACAAATGAAAATTTACACATGTGATTAAAATAAGGGACACCTGCGTGACTCAGTCCCTTAACCACTGAGCTAGGCTTAGGTTATGATTTCACAGTTCATGAGTTTGACTCCTGCACAGGGCTCTCTACTGTCAGCACAGAGCCCACTTGGAATCCTGTTTCCCTCTCTCTGCCCCTCCCCTGCACGTGTGCTCTCTCTCTCTCTTCCTCTCAAAAATAAACATTAAAAACAAATTTAAAAAAAAAAAAAGCTAAGGTCTGTGTAGTAGGGAGATTATGCTAGATTGTCTGGATGGGCTCAGGACTGATCACAGAGATCCTAAATAACAGAGAGCTGTGTCAGAAGGAGATGTGACTACAAGAGTCATCACAGAGCTGCAACTGTGCTGGCTTTGAGATGGAGAAAGGGGGACCACAATCCAAGCAATGTTGGCCACCTCTAGAAGCTGGAAAAGTCAAGGAAATAGAGTCTCCCTGGAGCCTCCAAAAGGAACACAGCTCCGCTGACACCCTCATTTTAGCTCCCTGAGACCTGTATCAGACTTCTAACTGACAGAACTGTAAGATAATAAATTTGTGTTGTTTTAAACCACTAAGTGTATGGCAATTCATTAGAGGGGCCACAGAATATGAAAACAACTAACGGTAAGTTCCTTGAGGGCAAGATCCTTCTTTGTGACTCTCAATGCCTAGCACTGTGCTTAGTACCTAAGGACACAATAGTCTCCAGGGATTAGACATAAACAAATTATCACAACACAATGTAATAAGCATTCCAATGGTGATATGCACTGAACTGTGTCTTTTCAAAATGCATATGTTGAAGCTCTAATCCTCAGTGTGGCTGTAGTTAGAATAAGGTTAAATGAGGTCATAAGGGTGGAGCACTGATCCAAAAGGACTAGTGTCGTTATAAAAGCTTGCTTTATCTTTGCCATATGGAGACACAGTGAGAAGTCAGCCATCTGCAAGCCAGAAAGAGTCTTTACCAGGAACCAAATCAGTCAGCACCTGAATGTTGTACTTCCTAGCTTACATAATTTTAAGAAAATAAATTTCTGTTGTTAAAGCCACCCAGTCTATAATATTTTGTTATGGCAGCCTGAGCAGACTCACCACACCATGTTTGTTTAAAGGAAAAATGGAAAATCAAGATGGGAACCAGGGAGTAACCATTCCATCTGGGGAGGCTTTGATGAGTATATTCTGCACTCTGCTATGTGCTGTGAGGAATATAAAAAAACTCAGAAGCACTAGCCCTTGCCCTGCATATCTCACACATTACCTCTAATGAAAAAGGTAATGTTACCATGCCTTAGACAGAGAATGTATAATCATTATATAAATTTGAATTTCATATGCACTGAAGCAATGCATGTCATCTCTATTCTCCAGAACTTAGTTCAAATCAGTCCCACCCACCTACTTCAAGAAACCAACATGAACTACTTTTGTTAATTGCTTTCTTCTTTGTGTCCCATTTCCAGAATCAATTCTGCAATAACCTGGAACCAGGAGAAATTTAATACTCACATTCAACACCCTTTTCGCATAAATTAATCTGGATAAAACAAATAGCAAGGAAAGCTCCAAGGGGAAAATCTGAAAGGAATTCTTGACAAGAAGACCACCTACACCTTTGGGGGTGGGTGCAAAGCTGAAAAGGGGAGCCCGGTCAGCCACCCCTGCTTCCTGACTGCGTCACATGATCACCTCAGCCCTACTTCGGCACCAAGCGATGAATGCCAGTTCCTGCTCTCTAACACACTTGTTTCCATGCCACCTTCCAGAAAAGGCAGCAGATTCCTAAAGGTTAACAGCCATTGTCAGGTGTGGCTCTCTAGCTAAGAAGTTAGAACGTTTTATGAACACATCAGAACTCTTATTGAAAAGAGTATTTTCCTTCAGGATCATTTTGAAGAGCAACAAGCCTATTGAAATACTACTGCGTTTCACACAGTATCAGTGGAAACCTTCCCTTGAAATTAATAAACCTTTTCCAAAAACTCAGACTCCGTGTTCCACAGTCACACATCATTTCAAGTGAACAGAATATTTATCCATGTTGACTTGCTACCACATTCATAGGACTCTACGCCATGTAACTTCTAGCTAATTCTAAGAATTACATATATACACTTAAATATATGTATCTTAAGTATGCATATATTTTAAAAAGATTCTACAGGTTGAAAGCAAGCTCTAAGGGGGTAGGAAATGTTTGAGTAGAGAAAACATCTTTGGAAAACACTTAACCTCTGAAAGAAGAGCACATACTTGAATATATGATTTAGGAATTCAGAGTTTTTAAAAATCAGTCATATTACTACAGAGCCACATCTCATACATCTCCCACAGTGCCTCACTCAGTAATCAGTAAATATTTATGAAATAGATCTGAACCAAAACTGTAAGCATTTGTCATGTCAAAGTACTTGTTGGTATTTCATGAGTACCAAAAGGTAAATGATAATATTATTCTGTGTACAATTTAGGACCCATTCAAGCCTTACAGTTCGTTTTCCAAAGGTGATCACTTGAATGGATTTTAGATCTTACTGCAAATCAGTTTGTCTGATCTTTTAAGCCATCTTTTAAGTTCTGTTAATCCCAGAAAACATCCAACATAGACACACAGACTTTCAATACTGTAGCCATCCTGGTTGACACTTATGTGTCCCAGCGCTTCTCTCCTTCAGCCGAGAGTAGGGGTCAGAAAGTAAAGATTCTCCATTTTATTGCCCATATTTCTCCTTCACTGTCATCAAGAAGCAAAATAACTCTGGAAGAACCACTCCAGTCTCCTACCCTTATCACTTCTGTCAGTTTGAGATCTGACAGATGGAGTCTCACCAGTAGTCTCATAGAAGCATAGCTGAATCCCCCACACCTGCAGGGCAGAAAATACCAACAAGCAAGCTCAAGGTGTTAAAACGGAAGGGTAAGGAAGAACTGTCTACATCACTTCTATTTGACTTAGCAGCTTGTGCCTCCTTCTATCAAGTAGGTATAGCCGTTTTTCTGCTGTAAGCATAATCCATACATACTGAAGTAAAACAGAAAGTACATGGATTCCTTTCAAAAGGAGGGCCCCCTAGTGCTTTTGAATTCTCATGTGTTGAATTATGAATCCTATACATATAGAGATATATAGGGATAATTATATATTAATTGCATATTATGTACAATTCTATGCTATCATTAATAACGCAATAATGTTTTTATGTATAGGTAAGCTACAATGGCCATTTAAAATATGTTTATGAAGTTTTTTCGCTGACACAGAGAAATGAAATATTTTGTTTTATTCATATAAAATATTAAATGAAAAATGTAAGTTATAGAATATAATATATGGATTATCATACCTGCATAACAGTCTGTCTAGGGGGAAAAAACCTAGAAAGAACTGTGACCCAAAATTTAATGTCACTCTCAATGAGAAAGCCCTTTTCCATTTTTTTCCCCTCAAATTTTCTACAATGAATGTGTATTACTCTTACAATTTAAAAATGGAATAAAAATGCCATTTGGATGAGCCGTAATTGGTTTACATACACACCTGCTTGTCAACCACAAAATTGTTGTGTAATCTCAGGTTAAAATAACACTGCATATAGGAACTGGAGAGGTCATGAGCTTCTTGACCCCAAGCCTTTGCCACTCACTGGCAGCTGGTAAGTAGCAAGTGATAACTGAGATTTTTAAAGTAGGAAACATTTCTTTATAGCTCAAAGATCAGAAATGTTACAAGCTCTGGCCACTATGGTCACAGGAAATATCACCAGCCAAGCCCCCAAACCGAAGGCTATCCATAGCTATAGGAAAGTAGGTGCATGAGCTGAATTTTGTGTCCTTAAAGCATATGCCATAATCTATGGCATCAATAAGCCAGATAGAAAAGACTGCATCCTGTATGAAAACATTTATATGACATTTTAGAGAAATCAGAACTAATGTATGATGACAGAAAGCAGTCTGGGGCTGAGGGTGGGGACAGAGGATTGACTGCAAGGGGCATGTGGAATCTCTTCTCTTGATTGTGCTGGTGGCTATGTGGTTGAATATGTTTGCCAAAACTCACTGAACCATAAACTTAACATGATGCATTTTGTTTTACATTAATTATACTGTCATAAAGATAACCTATGGCATTTGTGACACATACCTATATGGCATGTAATGGTAATACAGAGTATGATCATCTCAGTCTGAGGATAACCTTAGTAATGTGCAGCCATAATCATGCTGGGTTTTGAAAGGACAAAATTAAATATACATACCCCCAAGAATCTTGCAATGACTCCAAAATTCTGCCAATATAGAGCCATTCTTTTGGGATCTCTGAGTATTATATTGATGGAGAAAAATCAGTTAGGGAAGGGAAAGAAACAACTTACGCCATTAAAAAATAGCTCTTGGAGGAGATTACATTCCAGTGGTGTCAGCTCAGAAAGGGGGAGTCTAGGACAAGAGTGGAAAGGGTATGAGAAAGGCACCAGAGTGAGGGTGTCCTAGGACAACTTTCCCTATTTCACAGGGTCTCCTTTCTTTCATTTTACAGGAAAAACGTAAACCTTGGAAAAGTTCATGCCCTGAGCATACGGGTGAGGTCCAACTGAACCCCAGTTCCCTCCCTCCTGGATCTTTTGCCAAAGACTGTGGCAATGAACAACACTGACAGCTTTTGATACTGCTTTACAATCACAAAACATTTTCATGTTACAGCTACTCTTGAGGTAACAACTAACAGATGGCAATACGATTCCCATTTCTTTTTTTTTTTTTTTTCTTTCATAGTTTACTTGTCAAGTTGGTTTCACCCAGAGCTCATCCCCACAAGTGCCCTCCTCCGGGCCCATCGCCCCCCCTCCCCCTCTCTCCCACCCTCATCAGTCCGCAGTTTGTTCTCGGTATTCAAGAGTCTCTCATGGTTTGCCACGATTCCCATTTCATAGTTAAGAAAGTTGAGAGAAATCGAAGAGGTCAGGTGACTTGGCCAGTGTCACGCAGCTAGAACTACTAGAGATGCTCCCTAATAAGCATTAGCATATCATACTTGGATCATCCCCTTCAGGAAACCTTGAACCCTGTGATACATAGTACTTACGTTTGCCAAACCTATATTGAGACTGAAAAGTGCATGGTGAATTACTGTTTGTGAAAAGAGAAGGTTTTATCTTTACATAAATTATTTCAGTTGTCATGACCTAGAGTAAGAAGACTGGGATTGAAGATTCTATTGGCTCTGTGATCTATTTGCCCCCCTAGCCCTTAACTTCATCTGTAAAATGGGTATATTAATGTCTGTTCTTCCTAATTCATAGAACTGTTATGAAATCAAATAAATAATGAACACTAAAATATTCTAGAAACTGCACAGCATCAAATGACTATTAAATGCTTTATTTATAATTATCCCAATCTACCCAGGGATTGTAACTATATTTTATTAATTACCAAAAGGGTGTCTTGATTAACTACAATTTTTACATGATTTATGTGATAAATATCTATGCGATACAAACATCTTCACGTATCTTACTATTCATGTATCTCATCAATTTTCATCCGGTAAATTAGAATTGTGGAAGAGTTCACTCTTAGGAAGAGCCCAGAAATAACCAGACAGAAAGTGTAATTGAAAGTAACAGTTCACTAGGAATCAAGCATGACAAAGTAACGGAGAGCAAGATAAGTTTTCACAAATAGGCACAAGTAAGAAATCCAGAAAGCAATGAGTTAAGAGGAGGCAAAAATGGGCTGAGATGGACTTTGATAGAGAAATTACCCTTAAGTTTAATTCCTTTACAACTTTTGTTGTCCTCCATGTACAGTTTGAAAAAAACTTAGAATAAAGGTAGCCAGTGACACAAGTATAATTTCCAGGTTCCCCGGAAAAATTATGCAAAGGAATGCAGTATCTCTGGGGCCAAGGATCTCCAAAAATGTCCACTCCCTGCAGAGTCCTTTTTAGACTTTCCTCAGTGACTCTTCAAGCAAAAATCACTCCTACCCTGTTCCCCTCAGCCTGCTGACCCTCCTCCTGGCTAGTGTCCTCATTTGCCTGGAAAACTATTTGTAGATCTAAGAGCTTGTCCTTTAGCAAGACTGCCAAAAAGCAACTCGTTCTGAAAAGTCAATACCCCAAGGTCTCATAGAAAAAAGGTCAAAACTGAAGACCTTTGATTTTACCACCGCGTCACTATTCCATCGACCTGTCACTCTGATAAAATGGTTTTGGTGCTTCCCTACATGATCTTCCAAATCTTCTGCTTTTAGAGTAGCTTGAGGAAGTTGTTTTCTTTTCTGTTTCTTCCATCCCCACATAAATTATTTTAGGAGTGTAATTGCTGGCAGACATGTGCCAAGAGAATAGAAAGGGAAAATTCACCTAAAAGTAACAGGTGGGTTCAACCCCAACTCCCTTTTATGCAATTTATTTATTTTCTATTAGTGAAAATTGCCAAATGCCTTATGGCTGAAGAACCATGTTCTGAAAAATAAAAATTCAGCTGTGTAGACTGAGCTGTAACTTCGGTGTAGAATGCCTCTGAATCCATCGAGGCATGCTCTACTTATATCCTGCTGCAGAACAGGAATTTCTCTCTCTCTCTCTCTCTCTCTCTCTCTCTCACACACACACACACACACACACACACAGAATTGACTTCAGGCCACTGATTTCTACAAAACAACAGCTCCACCAAGGAGGCCATGATAACAGCAAGAAAACAATTACGTTTTCTATGAATGAACGTGCACACGTTTCAGATGAGCCATTTATCATCTATGCTAACAAAAATCAATTTTCTCTTTTTCTTCTTTCTTCTTCTTAAAAGCAGCTTTCAGCAGTGGCTGGCTTGAGAAGGATCTGGTTGAAATGACGGTGTTGACTCTCCATCCGCTGACACAAATCCCTCACCATCCAAAGGGGCTAGAAACTGCAGCGAGACGGAAGTTTCCCATTGCCAGGTCTGTTATGCAAGTAAGTTGGACTCTTCAATGATTT